TAGTAGCCATCTTGTTTAACCTCTAGGCGTAGGCCCTTCCCTTCGTGTTGACAGAGGCTAGTGGCTTCTTTTGTGTCGGGTGCTGGGACCAGTGTTGGTTGGCCTTCTGTTCCCTGCTGTCTGTGTTCTTGATGTGCCAGAAGACGAATTAGAAGAAAACCTGAAGTTACACGTACCCACCTGTCTAAGCCTGTCCCTACACATGCCATCTTTTCTCTTGCAGGAGGGCGGCTGGCCTCGTCCCTTAGTGAAGAGCAGCTACACTTATGGATTAGGTCTCAATAATACTGTTCTAGCAATCCTCTCTGCTCATCCCCACCTCATTAGTGGCTACAAAAGGCAGGCTGAGCTTCTTCTCATTTCTGTCCTTCTGTCTGTCTTAGTGTTCTTATCTAGTCTTACAACTTAGAATAGGACCCATGAGATACACCCCCTTCTTCCTTAAGCACCGGAGTTCCTGTCTGCTTATCTCCTTCTGTATGTGGCTGTCTGTAGCACCTCACGTTGACCACGTGTGAGACTGAGTTCCAGCTGGCCTGTCCTTACACGGTCTACCGGCTGTCAGGGGCTTGCAGCTCTAATTCCTTAGCCCCAAACCGTGAAGCCGTGTTGCTTCCCTCCTTGCTCTGACATCACACAACCTGTCAGCAAATTGTTTAGTTCCTCCTCCAAATCTTCCCAGAACAGAAGTGCTTTTCAGCACCTCCACAGCAAGCGCCCGTCTTTTTCCTTTTCCATTTTACCTGACCTCCCCCACAGTCTCTTTCTAAGCAGGGACCTAAATTGATTTCATTTGAAAAAGTGGTACAAGGTAGCAAAAAAAAAAGTGCCAGAGTCAGTGATATCCTTAGAACTTATTGTATGTAAAGATGCTTAATAAGTCATGAAATAAAGCAGCTATATGCTGTGTACTATCATCAATATGTATCTCCATATTTCATTGTGCCTCACATGGGATCAAAGTAGAGTATCCCCAGACCCTAGAGGAGAGAGTGTGATTTAGCCTGGCTGTGATTAAGAAGTGAGCACTCCATCCTTATCTTAGTCTATATTTTCATTGTGGTCACTGAGGGCCACACCTAGGTAATTTATGAAGAGTTTTATTTAGCCCACAGTTCTGGAGTTGGAAACCTTAAGTATATGATGCTGTCTATCATTTGTTAAGAGTCTGGGAGGACCTTCCTTCTGGTTCATACATAGTAGTATCACATGTCCCCTTGCCAGTTAGAGTCCCCTCTGATATGGTCACTAATGCCATCAAGTCCTTCCACTCTGAAAAGATTCCTCTGATCCTAATTACGTCCTAAAGGCGGCACTTCCATATACCGTTGCATTTGGCTTTGGGGTTACATTTCTAGTGCAGGCAGTCGGAGGCTGTCAAACTGTGGCAGTCCTGCTTCATCCAAACAGTGTAGTCAGATGTGGGCAGGAGAGCACACGTCAGCTGTGAGTGATCATACGGAGCTGCTTACAGCTGCCTCGTAGAGTAGTAGCAGGGAGTGGCCTGAGTCTCCCTATCCTGAAAAAGTTTGCGTGTTGTTGGTCCTATAACCACAGCAGTATGTCAGAACAGCTTCTTCTCAGAGAGGAAAATCAGGTAAGATGGAGTATTTTGGTCCCAGATACATTGTTTCTTGTAGTTGTCTGTGTACTAACTGAGAAGAGATCAGTGTTATAATCTACTTGTTGTACCTGGTGTGACAAGGATACTAATCGATTGTCTCCAGTTATTAGCTGTCTTTGTTAAATGATTTGACTGACATCTCTGCCCCACTCACCCCTGTAAAACATAGGTAAATAGCAGGGCACTTTCTCGAAGGAAATAGTAGAATCAATGTATGTAGACTGGCTAGCACATGCTTTTTTAAAACTGGATTGCTTTGCTGGTATCTGTTCACGTGGGAAACACTCACTGAGGAGTTCATCTTCTAGCAGAACAGAGAATAAAATGGAAGTGGTTTGAGGAGACAGATTCTTCAAAATTGTGTTCATCTTCAAGGGGCTGTAGACAGCAGCACACATGCTTCCTGTTAGGTAGATGGTGGTACTGTCCTGCTTCCTAATACCTTTAATATGTATGTTCACTTGATATACCTTCATTTTTGTTTACAAATCATAGTTTAAAGTTTTCTAATATAATTATAAATACATGTCGGGGTCCACTAGTTCTGTGTTTCTTTAATAATAATAGGATAGTTATAATAGCTTTAATGTTTGTATGCTTAAAAAAATCTTGCAACCATATGCACGTGTTGGTAGGACACATAAACATGGCAAATACACACTTAGAGTCAGTCATAAGGTGGAATTTTATGAAGGTGCTGGTTCTGTTACAGCATGGAGTCTTAGCTAGCAAATAAAAACTCAGATCCTTTAGAAGATGACTGTGGTATAAAGTTGCACTCTGCAGTCTCTTCCCTGGCAGTTCTACACTGATTGTCAATGCAAGGTTCCTGCTAGGTGACTTGGAATTGCTGGCTTGTAGAAGGGCTGGAGTTCCCTTTGCCCCTAGGCAGTATCAAATTGCCACTAAGCATCCTCACAGATGCTTCCTTGCCGGGAGAGAGCTTCCTGGGGCAGTTCCCTGCTCTTATGTCTTGGTCATGCACATCCTTTACTCAAGGGATAGTTTGTTTGCAGGTAGATTTATAGTAAGGCTTCTTCAGTGAGGGAATTCCAGAGAGTCTGGAAACGCCTAAGAGCACTCTCAAATCAACTGAAAGATTAACAAATTCACACAGGAGGGTAGCACCCCCCCCCCACTCTCTTCACTAACAAGTGAGAAGGGAGTAATGCTTATTTTAGGTGAATACAGCCTCAGCTGTGGTTTGAATAAGATTTTCTAGAGAGGATTAGATATTTGAGGGCATTGGTAAAATTTGTCACTTGGCTGAAATCTACATAAATTTAGCATTCAGATGTAAACATTTGTTAAACAGAAGGAATTACTCTTCTGTTACATTTAAAGGTACACTCCAGCCAACTGTGGAAGCATTTCCTTCTCTGGAGACACTATTTTGATTATGAGAATATTTACAAGTGTTTTTGAGTTTGTCACAGAATACAATTATGTGTCTTTAAAGTTTTTGTACTTTTATGTGTTATCTCTCTTTAGGATTACTTATGTGTATTGCTATTTTTATTTCATTATCACAGCTCTAATAATTATAATCTCATTGCTCTAATGATAAACACTGAAGTGCCTGAGGACCGAATCTGTTCCCAAGAGGATAGAGATTTGACCCTGTTTGTCCATTGGAGTGAGCATTTAAGCCAAACTGTATTTGAGTCGTTCCCAGAATTCTGATTAGAGCATTAGACCTGATGTGCAGCCATAAAGACCTCAGGGCCACACAGGGTCCTGGAGTCAGAGCAGAGGGAAATGCCTCCTCCTTCGAGGCTTAGAGAGGAGCATGGGAGAAATGTCAGGAGGTGAAAGGTTAGATCAGAGAGTACTGCAAAGGAGCCTTGTGAAAGAGTCCCCAGCTCAGCTGAGTGCAGAGGTCTGTCTGAGGTTTGACCTGAAAGAGAACTAACCGGGAAGCAGCGGCCTCATCAGTGCCTTCCAAACTGATGGTGTGGCCTCTGGGTTTGGGCCGACCTCTGTGGTCTGCTGGAAGAAGGGAGGAGAAAGTCAAAGCGGGTCCTGTCTCAAACAGCACCAGCAGCATGATTCTGCTGTCAAAACACTGATTTTTTAGAGGGTTTGTTTTTTGAGACAGGGTCTCCAAATTCTCCATTCTCATGCCCCATCATGCCAAATCCTGGGATTACGGGCATGCACACCCAACTAGCTTTAAAACAGGCATTTTATGTTTGGGGATTGCATCTGAGAAGTAGATTCTGCTGCTAAGTTGAAAATACAAGTTTAAGAGCACTGTGTTGAGCACTGCTGAGCTTCTGAGGTAATGGTGGAAACCTGTAACAGGCAGGAACTACGGAAGGCATTCCTGAGGACCTATGGCAGCCCTGGAGGCAAGGTCTCCGGTTCTGGAGTGAGATGCTGCTACACCAGACAAAGGGTTACCAGTGACTTCCGGAGTTCTTGCTGCAGAATCGGGTCAAACTGGGGAGCAAGGCCAGTCAGTGTGCTGTCTTGGGAGGTTTGGAGGCGTTAGTGCAGTCAGGGTCAGACGCCCTTGAACTGCTGTGGAAGGACAGTGCTGACAGCAGATGCTGAAATAACTGGAATGCCTGGCCAAGTTTTCTCTGTCCTGTAGCTTTTTTTTTAGTTTACTAAATTTTTTTTTTTTTTTTTTTTTTTTTTTGGTTTTTCAAGACAGGGTTTCTCTGTGTAGCTTTGCGCCTTTCCTGGAACTCGCTTGGTAGTCCAGGCTGGCCTCGAACTCACAGAGATCCGCCTGCCTCTGCCTCCCAAGTGCTGGGATTAAAGGCGTGCGCCACCACCGCCCGGCTTAGTTTACTAAATTAAAGGCAAAATGTAGAATTGAAGTAGAAACAAGGGGTTGAGAATGGGTAGTCAGATTTTCATAGCTATCACCCAGCAGCTTGTTTCTTTTATTTGATATTCCAACTGTTAGGGAAATAAACTAGGAGACTCCATCCAGTTTTGTGTACATTTCAACTTGTAAGATGATGTGAAATCTTTTCATTGTTGAAAAGCTTGCTGAAAAAAAATTTTTTTTTCGTTTCATGATCAGTGTTGAGGAAGAAATATATTATTTTAAAATGCAATTCCCAAATTGACTAATGCCTTTTTCTTTTACTAGTAGCCTCATAATTTAATTTAAATCTGTTTGGTAGTTCCCAATCTATTTCCATTAGTTAAGCTGTTGTGAGAAAAGGCCCCTTGGGAAGAACAAAATTAACTTAGTAGTTTTGATCATTCATGTGCATGTGTGTGTGTATGTGTATGTAACTCAACTGCTTTCATTTCTGATATTGCAGTTGAGCTAGATCAAAGCAAGTAATTTCCATATTCTCTGAGAAAGTCTGTATTTCCTGTCACTCTGAACTCCTGTGTATCTGTATTCTTCTAGGTGAGGAATTTTAAATTGGAACAGGAACAAGAAAAAAACAAAATATTGTCCGAAGCACTGGAGACTTTAGCCACCGAACATCATGAACTAGAGCGATCCCTGGTTGAAGGGTCCCCGCCTGTCAGCATCCTTAGTGAGGACGAGTTCTATGATGCACTGTCAGGTAACTCCTGAGTCATCTCGCCTGTGTTGTTGTTAGTGTGGAGCCCACCACCCAAGAGTCGTGTGTGTGTGTGTGTGTGTGTGTGTGTGTGTGTGTGTGTGTGTGTATGTGTGTGTGTGTGTGCAAGAATCTGAAGATTGGTGACAAAATTTCAACACTGAGCGGGTGAGATGGCTTTCACTGGTGAAGGTACTTGATGCCAAGCAAGAACCAGCTCTTAGAAGTCGTCTGCTGGCTATACAATATACTGTGACATGCATGTGCCCCTCCGAGTAAGGAAAACTTTTTTTTTTAATCTAAAGAGAGTTGCTACTTCAAATAAATCAAAATGGAGTTGGCCTATTTTGAAAGTGTGCAATATGTTAGAATTGGAATACCTTCAAAACTGCACATATTTTATTTGCTACTTTTTCAGTGACCTCTGGTGCCAGCTCTTGTCACATACTCTAAGGCAACAGAAAGAGACAATGGGTTCTGTCTTTGAAAAGGCCTTTGGAGTTCAGTATGCTAGAGGCAAAGTAGATCGAGGACCAGAGTGTAACTGGAGCAGAAAGAAGGAAGTGCTTAACTTTGCCCCAGAAACTCTGCACAAGGACAGCATACCATATCCCCTGTGAGCGTGGACTCCAGAGCTCCAGCCCGAGAGTGGTGTTAGTGTTACTCACATGGACAAATGAGAGATGGAGCTGGGAGAGTGTGGACAGTGTGGAGGAGGTGGGACTGCTAAACAGTTTGGATTGTGTGTATATGTGGGGTGTTGTCGCACTTTGTAGGCCGGGCTTGATTGAATTCATGATCCTGCCTCAGTCTCCCAAGGGCTGGGATGGCAGGCATGTACCATCATACTTAGCTGAGTTTTGATCCTAGAAATTGACATTAGAAGTTTTGAGATACATATGAATGGGAGAGGGGAAGGTAACAGAGAGTAAGGTAATTGAGACACTATTTTATGGAAGGAAATGAAAGAGAGGAAGTATGCTGAGAGATGGCAGAGATGAAACAAGAGGGTAAGCCAGAAAGGCTGAGGCAGTGTGTGACTGCGCAGGAAAGGAGACAGTCCTGGAAGGCCGTAGACTCAGAAGGGATTCACTGTAGAAGGCAGAATCAGACATTGTTAGAAGTATAGGAGGATTAAATCAGGACAGACTAACAGTCGATCTGAGATGATCAATGACTGGTGGTGGTGAGTGTCTGTGAAATGTAGGATGTGTGAAAGGATTGGGTCGTGTTGGGCAGGGAGAAAATGCAGGATTTGACTACAGACTGAACAGGAGTGAAGGAATTCACTATGGTGGGAGGTAGGAAGGTGGTGTAGCTAACACTAAAGATGGCTGATGCTTACTGTACATCAACCCTTTGCTCTGTCCGTTGATGCTAACTTAGGTATTCTGTGAGGGACTTCCTAAAAGAAAGTCAGTAGAGGGGCCATAGTGTGGGGTTTGAATGAGAAACATTCCCACAGGCACATATTTCAAAATTTGATTCCTGGTTGGTGGCACTGTTTTAGGATGTTGTAGAAGTTTTAGGTGTGTGGTCTTGCTGGAGAAAGCATGTCAGTGGGGGTGGGCTGTGAGAGTACATAGCCTCCCCCCATGTCTAGTTTACTCTCTCTGCTTCATGTTTGATTTGGAGATGTGATGTTTCAGCTTCTGACTACCTGCTGCCATGCCTCCCCACCATTATAGATTCCCTCTCAGTGTAAATTGTATGTGGGCACGTATGACTGCATGTGTGTTTGTTCACATGTGGAGGTGCTCTTGGAGAGCAGAGGCGTTGGAGACGCTGAACTGGATTACAGACAGTTGTGAGCTGCCTAACATGGGTGCTGGGACCCAAACTTGAGTGCTCTGGAATAGCACGAGTGCTCTTGACAACTGAGCCATCTCTCAGCCCTTTCTTCAGAGGTTAGTAATGGCTTGATAGTTCCTCTTCCAGACCCTCTTTCAAGCATTCCCAAGTACATGGACTCTACAGTAGGGCTTGAAAAAAAATTATGAATGTAAGTACCTGTGTGATTATCCTGGATAAGCTTTTCGCTTAGCAATTTGTCTCGGGACTCCTTTTCAATATTGCAGCTCCAGCTCAATCTTGTTTTGTACATGGAGAACGATTTCCTTAACCATTCTCTTCTTTGGAGATGTTTAACAGCTGCTCCGGTCTCTCTGCTTCTGGTTATGTCGTAACAGTTCCCACGGGGAGAAGGAGATAAAAAGTAGCTGCCGTCCCTGCTGGCATTCCCAGAGCTGCCTCTTGGTCAGATGGGATTGTGGTGACTGTTGCTTTATGGGCTGTTGTGTTGAGCAGACTGAGTCCTAGTGTCTGAGCTGACGGCTCGTTCTCTGCTGACTGTAGGGGATGAGAAGGGGACAGTGCCAAACCCTGGACAGTCAATGCAAATCCTGTTACATCTGCTAAAGCACAGCAGTTCATCTGTGCTCTCTACTATTTCTTACTACAAATCTAGGGACTCAGAACAATGTAAAAGCTGCGTCTGAGAACCTCTGTTCAAGTCCTGACCTGGCCACATAATTCTTGGTGATCATAGCAGCTCTTGCTAAGTGATGATTTCATTTTCACACTACAGTGTCTACACAGTGGTCTTTCTTCACACTTCCTCCTTCACTTCTGTTATGAAAGAAGAAACCTGACCTCTTAAATAAGGCTAACCCTTATTTGTTCCACTGCCCTGTACCTTCCCAAGGAGACTTAGTTATTGCTTAATTGACTTATGTTAAAATACCATGTAACTTAACATTGAAGAGTAAAGATTGATTCAGTTTCTAGCACTTAAAAGTCCTAACATCAGGATATCCGCTGAGCTGTGTTCTTTCTAGTGGTTCTAGGAGAGAATCTGGTTCTTTGCTCTAGTGACCTGCCTGTGTTCCTTGGCTCCAGGCCCATCCTGCATCTTCAGAGCTAGAGTCTCCAATTTGTGGTCTCTGATTCTTCCTATCCTTCCTTCTGAAAGGACCCCTGTGGTTCCCAGGGCTCACCCAAAGAATCTAGGACATTCTCCCATCTCTGGAATTTCTAGCCAGGTAGCATAATCATGTTCACCTCCCCTTTTTCCTAAATATAACTTACTCAATCCTTATAATGCTACCTGTACATACGTTTTCAGGGCTGACCGTGTGGCACTGGATCACGTGTTCTTCCCTGAGGAGAGCCACCTCTCTGGCTCCAGCTTCCCCCACTGCTTGTGAGTCTTTGTCTGGGGTCGAGGCTTTTCTCCAGCCAGTTTGGCACGTTCGGTGGTGTCAACTTGTTCAGCCCCTCACATTTTGGTGGTTATGTTGGTGACACTGTATGGGTGTAGCTTTTGATGTTACTAGGAGACACAACCTCACAGCCAGCTCCCTGGTCCTCTGGCTCCTACAGTCTTCCTGCCCCCTCTTCTCAGTGTTCCCTGACTTCAGTCTAGGAGTGTTTTGCAGATATATCAATTAGGACCAGGCTCCATGACTGTGCATTTGGATTGGTTGTTGCTTTCTGTGAATATAACAACTAATATTTATAGATTGTTGTTAGGGATTATGCTGATTTAGTAAATTAATGTTTCTTATTTTCCTTCATTAACCATGACTTCATGAGCACTAAATGGTTAGCTAGGTTTCCAGTACTAGGCATGTCTCCCTCTTTTTGAATGGGTCTAACATCCAGTTAGCTGTTGGTTACTGCCACGGTATGTGTACCACTGTGGCACCCATAGAGTTATTGTGCCCTGCTGGTCATTGATGTGGTTCATAGGCATCATAGCCGGGTAGGACTATGGTTGCTTCCCTCCTTTGGAAGCTTGCATAGTGCTTTCTAGTATCACGAAAGCTAGTGCTCAGAGAGGGGATGTTTAGGTCAGTTTCAGCTCAGTGGTCTCTGGGCCCTCTTTCTGAAGTTCATGGTGTCTTCAGCAATAGGGACCTTTGTGGGCTGAGTTTTTCATTGGGACATAGGCCAGCTCTGGAATAACCACACAGAGATGTATTAATTATAAATGCTCAGGCGATAGCTTAGGCTTATTACTGACTAGATCTAACTTCTTAAATTAACCCTTTTTTCTTGTCTGCACTCTACCAGGTAGCAGTACCTTTTTTAAGCACGGCATGTTCATCTGCTTCTTTGCATCTCTCTGGCAACTCCACCCTCTTCTCCTCATGCACTTTTCTTTTTGTCCGCAAGTCCCACCTAACCTTTTCCTGCCTAGCTATTGGCCAGTCAGCTTTTTATTAACCAATGAGAGTGATACATATTCACAGTGTACAAAAAGATTCTTTCACAGCAGACTTTGCTTCCACCTCTGGGGGTAACCAAGGGCGTCAGGAACAGGCTGTATGTTTGGGAGTCTCTTGGACAGCCCTGACCAACAATGCCAAAGAGGACTTCTCATGTCTGGTCTTTGGTTTCTTCAGATAATCTTTGGCTCTTGGAGAGAGCACTGTCAGTCCAGATGAGATAGGCTCATTAAAGTTATAGATGTACATTTATACATAGACATTATATGTATTTAGGGGTTTCTTTCTTTTCTTTTTTTCTTTTGGTAGTTAATAGCATGGTTCCTGTGACTTTTTCAGGCATCTTTGTTATTTTATCCACTTCCCTCCTTCATCTATTTTTGCCTCCTTTCTCCTTCTCTAGGAGACCCCCTTCCCCATTTCCCTTCTCAGATCACTTGTATCCTGCTATTCTCCCTTATCCTCCGCCTTTATCCCCTTTATCTCTATTTACCTCTCTCTTCCTCTGTAAGAGCCCCCTTTTCCTATTTCCCTCATCAGATCACTTGTACCCTACTGTTCCCTTCTCTGTTGTTCCCAAACCCCAACTTGGAAACGATCTCATTTTAATTTCCTGGATTCCGTAGTTTCTACAGGCCATATATTTACATCTGAAGATTTAGAATTAGGAGCCTCCAGTAAGACAACGTGCAACATTTGTTCACTGTGATCTTTCTTAGTTCCATCCAATTTCCTGAAAAGGTCATGATTTCATTTTTCTTTAAATCTGAATGT